CTCATGGACCACCTGTTTTCCTTTCAAACTGCTCCACTCACCCTGCACCTAACAAGGTAAATTTGAGTAATTGGGGTACACAGGTGCAGAGGGAATGTAGCAGGAAGAGCTGCTGCTAGAGAGCAATTTGTATATTCATTAATATTCTATATTCATCAGTCTGCACAAAAACCCCAATGCTAAGACACACACACACACACACACACATATATATTAGGGGGGCAACGATACACAAAATTCACGGTTTGGTTTGGTTCCTTTGGTGCCTTTTTAATTTGTCATTTATTAAAATTATAAATATATATTTTAACTCAAAAGTACAGTTTTTAAATTTAATGTTGCTGAAACAACAAAGTAATAAAAAAATAAATCTATCTGATCGAGAAATCACTCATCTTTGGAAAAGAGAGTTTATTACAGAGAAATGGCTCTTTCCAAAATAAAAGCTATACTATACGCTTCTTCTGGGCTATATTCTCAGCAGCATATTAAACATATCAGGTCCCCATAAGGAGAATCATGTGCTAACGGCTGTCTAAATGACTCGGGTAAAGTTTGTAGCATGTGTGCTTGTTGTTTTTGTCTGCTTCCACTTGTCTTTGCACTAGGATGATGTCGGCGTAAATGTGCAGTCATATTCGTTGTGTTCCCACTAGTGCTGTCAGCGTTAATCTCGTTAAAATGACATTAACGCCATAACGCGGCAAATCTCCGTTAACGAGTTACCGCGGATCGCCCCGTGCGTGGGGCTGGACGGCGTCAACACGTTAACAAGCTAACTGCGCTAACGCACTAGTTCCCACCAATTGAGCATTGCGTGGCACATCCAACATACTGTTTTACTTTTGGGGAGGTTCAATTTCGGGTAGCGTTGAGGCAGTTGCCATGTTGCGCTCAGTGGATCTGCACTCCACTCCCTCTATTTGTATAAAAGCAGTGCTGGAACACACTGTAGTACCATACCTTTGTGAGCATCAGTTAAACAGCGCAATGAGACATTAAACTGCATAATTTTCAAGGTTCAAGGTTCAAGGTTCTTTATTTGTCACATGCATAGTTATACAAGTATAACACAGTGAAATGTAGCCTGACACGCTCCTCGACATGTGCAAAAAATTGGGGGGGGGGGGGGGTGTAGAGGAAGAACATATTATATATATATATATATAGTATATACATTGGGTGAATGTGCAGTAGTAGCAGCAAGCAGGTGAATTCTGTACATTAATATGAATAGACATCTGACTATTTTACAGGATAGACAATATAAACATATTTAAAATTAAAGGAATTGAAATGTACATTGTGCCTTGGTTTAGTGTCTGGAAGAGTCCTGTCTCAGTCAATTATAGATGATGTGAGAGGGCGGGTGTGTGTGTTTAGGGCACGGATGGCTTGGGGATAGAAGCTCCTCTTGAGTCTCTCTGTCCTTGCCCGGAAGATGCGGAACCTTCTACCAGATTGCAGAAGTTGGAACAGTTTGTTGCCAGGATGGGACGGGTCCTTCAGTATCTGCGCTGCTCTAGTCCGGCATCTCCTGGTGTAGGTGTCCTGAAGCGGGGGGAGAGCAATCCTGCAGCAGCGTTCTGCTGTACGGATCACTCTCTGGAGAGCTTTTTGGTCCTTCACACAGCTGTTCCCAAACCACGATGTCATGTTCTGTGTGAGGATGCTCTCCACAGCGCCTGTATAGAAAATCCTGAGGATCTTTGGAGAGACCCTGAACTTCCTCAGTTGTCGTAGGTGATACAGGTGATACAGGTGATACAGGCGCTGCCTAGCCTGAGCGGAGCGGTCAGGAAGGCGTCTGGACGTGGCCGCGCCATCTCTGACACCATAATTTTCAATGCAAAACTGAAAATTTTGGGCCGTTCTAAAACTTTTGACTGATTCTGTATATGCAGTCCTGATCAAAATTTAAGACCACTTGAAAAATAGGAAAAAAATCATATATTACATGATTGGATCTTAACAAGGTTCCAAGTAGAGCTTCAACATGCAACAAGAAGAAATGGGAGTGAGAGTTTTGTCTCACTCTCATTTCTTCTTGTTGCATGTTTTCTACCAAGCTGCAAGCTTCTACAGTTCCTTTGGTATAGCTACATCTATCACTGCGGCTGTCTTCTTCTGCTTGTCCACCACTACTATGTCTGGTTGACCAATTTTTCTGTATGTATCTGAAAGTCCCACAGGACCTTAGCAGGGTCATTCTCAACCACCCACTTATAGGGGGCGCATCCCGTTTTGACCTAGGGACTTCCAAACTATACTGGGATGTTACTGGGTATACTATGCCAGCCTCCTGGTTATGGTTTTCAATGTATTCCCTGCCTGCTAACATCTTGAACCCTGCAGTTATGTGCTGGATTGTCTCAGGGGCACAGCCTGGTGTGGTAGAGCCAAGTCTTTATGGATTTTGTGCTTAGAGCTCATTGATATGGTGCCATGATTAGTGCCTCTGTGCTGTGTCATTTTAATAAAAACAAGAAAGTTTAAGCAATGCAATACCAGGAGAGAAAAAGTGAAAAGGCCCTTTAAAGCAGGTATTAGTGTAACTGGTGCTGATGTTAATAACAGTATAATCATACAGAAAAGACATACTAGGGGCTCCTATGCAGCTTTGTTTCTTGGTCCCCAATTACAAGATGTTTTACTTCTCTCTGGAGCGTGTTATTGTTTTTTAGCTAATAATGGTTTCTTTCTTTGACATCTATTTACTTGAATCTTTTAAATCCTGCATTGTTTGAGCCTTAAAATGAAAACTTGGTTAAGAATTTTGCAACATACTGTAGGCCCTGTGAAAAGTTTATGCATATTAGTTTTATTTTATGCATTGGTATTTGTCAGTCTTGATTTAAAACGTATGATTTTTGTGCAGTACCTACATAGAAAATATTTCATTTCCCAAAGTCTGAAGGAAAACATGATGCAGAACGATTTATGTTTTAAATAATGTCTTGGAGTCCTGCATCCTTAACGTGACAAGTTGTTTTTCTGAGTTTCTGAATTGCTGACATTTCTCCCCGAAATTAATTAATTCCTTGTTGAATGGAAAATGTGGATCTCCACTATTAACTCCAGAAGAGAAAATGTAAATCCAGCTGTAGGATCACTGATATGGAAAATACAAAAAAGTTTTTTTTTATTTTTTATGTTTTTTATTTTGTGTTGTACTTTTTATGATTCATATCAGCAATTAAAACAAGCCTATTATAATTTCTGATAAACTATATTGGATGACTTCTATCAGAGTTGTAACTTAAATAAAAGTAACTGCATTTCTTTTTATATTCTCCCTTCCCTTTTTTTAAAGTTTCTTTTCAATATGAGCAGAACCTCAGGGATGTTCTTCATTTCTGCAGGAAATGTAGGCTCTGTAGTTCTGTAGGAAATAAACTTCAGCTTCTCTCTGATGTGTTAAACCTGCAGTGCTCTGATAGTGTCAGCTCTCAGCCAGGGTTGCATTTACAGTACAGTGTTTAATTTGTAGACTGTCACTGAGCAAGTCAGGCTGAGTGACATTTGTGTTGCTGTTAGGCCCCCAGCTGTCTATCTTCCTCCCTCTTCCTTTCCCTCTGTGAATCCTGATGAGGTGTCCAGTGGTGCTCTGTTCAACACACTGAAGTTGAAATCAATCAGCTCTTCAATCTTTCTCTAAAGGACCATTATCCAGCCCCGGCAGGCCTGTTGGCCTGCCTACAGCAGGATCTATGACTTCTCTTTTTCACACCGTAAAGCTCACTAATTTGAATCTGACAGGAGTTGGAAGTTTGTTTAAATCTTAACAAATCAACTGTTAGATGTTTGAAAATGAATGTGGACAATATTTAACAGTCTGAGTAAAATCACTACTTTATTCCTCCATATCTTTTAAGTTCATAGTTTGGTTTGTATGACTTCTGATGTCTTCAATAAAAATAAATAAATAAATGGCCTGCATTTGTATAGCGCTTTTCTAGTCCCTAAGGACCCCAAAGCGCTTCACACTACATTCAGTCATCCACCCATTCACACACTGGTGATGGCAAGCTACATTGTAGCCACAGCTGCCCTGGGGCGCACTGACAGAAACAAAAACACACATCCAAACTATTTCTCTGGCCTGAATACCCAATCTTCTGTTTTTACAATCAGTTCTATAAATTACATTCTTGAGCAGTAAAATAAATTGCCAGTACCGCTTTTACCTGATTTTTCATAGATATAGTGGTGTCTCTTCTTTGCTTGTAAATTTATTTGATAAAAGATCAGTTGGTTCTTTGGCTATGATAAAATGAAGAATTCCTTCAATTAAGAAAAACTTTTCTGGTCATTATTCAAAGTCACAATAAGAAGAAAAGGGGAAATGGATGTGAGCTGTTTTTTTTCCTCATTGAGAGAGTCATATACATTTATGTTTATGACTCTCTCATATATATATATATATATATACATACATATTCTCCACTACTCTTTTGATAACTTCGATGGGTTAATTTTTGCATGTTTTTGTGAGCTACAGTATTTCTGTTTTTGAGATTGTCTGTCAGTTTGCATCTTCTATTCCTGAAATCTTCTCTTAGCCTGTTGCGCTGAAAGTTTTTCCATATATATTGATTATTATTCCTTATTTGTTGTACAGCCAAGTTTTGTTTTTTTACATGCAAATGAATGAACAATTAAGAACATGTTGCAACTATTTTTCTAACAGATCTGTTATATTTTCAGCTGGGAGAAGCACATTAGAAAAATGGTTAAAAATGTACAAACAAACAACACTGATACATATCATTTGATCAAGATGCTTAAGCATGACATATTATGGTTAAAAGTTTTCTATATCATCCCAAAATTATAGGACATGTTATTGTCTGTTTTATTAGTTTGCTTTTTGCAGTGTAATTTTGAGTTTTTCATGATGTAATGGAAAGTTGCGAAAAACTAAAACCGGCTTATACAGTAGCCTGCATTATCTGTACTTCTATGGGTCTAGTGGTTTTAACCTTGCTGTTTCTCCACAGATTCCTCAGATCAGCTATGCGTCGACAGCTCCAGAGCTCAGTGACAACACACGCTATGACTTCTTCTCCCGTGTGGTTCCTCCCGACTCCTACCAGGCTCAGGCCATGCTAGACATTGTGACAGCGATGGGCTGGAACTACGTGTCCACCCTTGCCTCAGAGGGAAACTACGGCGAGAGCGGCGTTGATGCTTTTGTCCAGATCTCCAGAGAGTTGGGTAGGAAACTGTAAACAGATATACGGTTAATTCAAGTCAAAGTGAGATTTAAAAGTTTTTTATACTTTGGTACTCGAGAGAGATTAATTAAATATTGAACTTTTAAAACTAATTGAGTGAAATGGGACCAAAAGCTATTGATCTGATAAATTTGCTGCACTCTGTTGATGAATGAACAGAAGATGTCTTCTAACTGATTATTGATCTTATTATGCCAGAAGCTGACACATTTCTCCTTGACTGGTCACTGTGAGGTAATCAGGTTTGGCGCTTACTGAATAAAATGTTATCACATGGAGTTAAGCCCTTACATTAATTAATATAAACTTTTGAAATTAACCAGTGACCACATGTTTGATAGAGATTAGCATTTTGTTTGTATGTAGTTGTTCAATTCAATTTAACTGATTCTGTTCTGTTTTGTTACTTAAATTAATCAAAGGCTGGGACTGGCTCTATCACACTTTGAATGATGACGGCTTATGATATGATTTAAACGATGAGCTTGCAATGCTGGGCAGCCAGCTCTAGGAGGAGTCTTGGTGTTTCCAAACTTCTTCCATTTATGGATAATAAATGATGAGGCCACTACGCTCATTGGAAAATGACGATATTTTTCGGTATTCTTTCCCAGATCTGTACCTTGATAAAATCCTGTCTCAAAAATATAGAGACCTCATGGCTTGGTTTCTGCTCTGACATTCAAACTGTATCTGTATTTACTGAAAAACATAATTTACCACAGGTAGATTCCGATCAAGTTCTAGAAACATATGACAGATGATTAGTTGAAATAGGATGCACTTTCATCTTCCTAGCCACCTCTTCCTGCTTGTCTGGGGAAACACAGAGTTGTTCCTAGGCCAGCCGAGAGATATAATCTCTCCAGCAAGTCCTGGGTCTACAAGGGGGCCTCCTTCTGGTGGGACATTGCTATAACATCTCACCCAGGAGGCATCCAGGAGGTATCCTTTCAGATGCCCCAACCACCTCAACCTACTCCTTTCAATGTGGGGAGTTGCTGCTTTGCTTTGAACCCCTCCGGATGGATAAACTTCTCACCCTGTCTCTATGGGTGGATGGCCCTTGCCACTTTGTATCCACAGTCTGATTCTATTAGTAACTACCCAGAGCTTGTGATCATAGGGGAGAGCAGAGAGATACATCAACCAGTAAACTGAGAGCTTTGCTTTCATGCTCTTTTTATCACAACGGAATAATGCAACATCCACTTCTCTGCAGCCATAACCTGAATCCATCTGTCGATCTCCCACTCTCTTCTCCAGTTACTCATGAACAAAACCATGAGTTACTTAAACTCCTCCACTGTTGGCAGCAACTCATCCTTGACTTGGATTAGGCACTCAACCCCTTCATGGTTGAGGACTCAGACTTGGAGGTACTGATTCTCATTTCCACCGCTTCACATTCAGCTGTGCACCACTCAAAGCTGAGCTGGATACAATATGATGAAGCATATAGAACCATATCATCTTCAAAAAGCGGAAAGATTCTGAGGCCACCAAAGTGGAAGCCTTCCACCACATGGCAAGACATTCTGTACATAAAAAGCATTAACAGAATCAGTGCCGGAGTTCAGCATGTACTGGGAACAACTTAATGTTCCCGACTTATTGCCGGCAATGCAGAACAAGCTCCCACAATGTTTATATATAGGAACTGAACGGCTAATAGCAATGGACTAGACACCCCATACTCCCGAAACACCTCCCACAGAATACCCCACCCACACTATACATGTGTTCATATATACACACCATAGTGTATTGTTCTTCTTTGTTCTATTTGTATCTTATTTTGAGAAGGAAGGGGATTCATAGTTTATGTAGAATTTGGACCCAAAATACAGACTCCAAGACAGGTTTGAACAAACGAAAAAATTCACCTTTATTCAGGTCAGGCAGCAGATCCTGGTGGCTGAAGCAAACAGGATTCAAAAGTAATCTGAAGCAGGTAAAACGTGGGGAAAACACGCAGGCAGACAAACAGTACAACATGACAAAGAACTAAGGAAAACTAAGGGTTAAATATACACACAAGGTAATCAGGGAAAGAGACACAGCTGGGGAAAACAAGGCGTAGGTGAATAGAATCAATTAACAAGCAAGAGGGGAAGCAAAATTGAACATAATGCACTTGAGATGAGAGGCCATTAAAATAACACAGGAAGCATAAACACTGAGATGGAGACTAAACAGATAAACTTGACAGACCAAAGTAAACAAAGACAAAAGTGACTATGGACATGGAAGACCTAACAGAAACAACGACTGGGCATGGGGAATATTGACATTTTCTGTTTGACAGAAACAGAGAGTCCAAAACTGAAAACACTGGGTGCAAAACCTGGATTCGTGACAAAGGGCACTCTATTTATTATATGTCCAAAATGTCACGAACATACTTTGCTGATATTTATGATATGATATTCAAGCAAGTGCTGAATTATTATATATAGTTCAGATTATAAGAGAAAAAGCTATTTCTCTGTGCATGACTTACAGTAAAAAGAAGAACTATGACTAGAAAAAGTTAATTTAAATGTAATTACATTTTTCATTTTCCATCTGTCATGTATTCTGCTTTATCACCTTGTTGCTTTATTGCTGACACATTTATCTGGCTTTGCAACACTGCTGTAATCTCTGCGCAAAGGATGGCAGCTGTACTAATGATGAAAAATGGCTGCGATGGAGGCTTTTAAAAGCATCTGATTAATAACTGTGCAGAGAGCAGCTGTGGCTCCTGTGTGGGCTCAGTGAGGTGCCATCTATGCTGCTGTTGTCACTGTGCAAACACACAATGCTGCACATGCAAATGGCTTCATTAACAGAGTGAATATGTATTTACAATACTGTGCAAAAGTCTCTTGCTTCCCCTGATTTCTTTATTTTTTGCTTGGAAAAAGGAAAATGGATGGAGCTATTTATTGAAATGTGCAGACATGAGTAGAAATATATAAAGAACAGTTTGTAACAAGCCTGAATCTCAGTAACGGTATGACCACCTTTATGTTTTAAGTTCAACCTGAAATTTCAAGAAAGCTTGCTCGTAATTTCTTTGATCAGTCTTAGTTCTAGAATAGTTCTCCAGGCTTTCTCAACATGCAGTTCTTTGCATGTTTGCAACATCGTATTGCATAATTATTATAATAGGGACGGTATTATGTACTGACAAGTACAGTGGTAAAACAATTCTTGTCATGAGGTTTGCACACACCTCAGGAGTAGATTGAACCCACTCCTCTTAGCTGAAACTCTCTAAATCCTTTAAGTGTTTTGGCGGGAACTTGGCACCCTGAAGCTTCACTTCCTTCAACAGACTTTCAATAAGGCTGAGGTCTGGAGACTTGGTAGGACACTACATGACCTTAACGTGGTTCCACTCCTTTGTTGGCATGGTTGTCTGTTTTGGGTTGTTGTCATGCTGGAAGACCCACACAAACCTGTCTTTAGTGTTCTGGTTGAAGGAGGGAGGTTCTGTTCCAAATTGTTACAGTACATGGTCACATCCCTTGGCCTGTCAATGTGGTGAAGTTGTTCTGTACCTTTAGCAGAGAAACTTTAGCTGTTTCTCTGCTAAACATTTTCAACTCTGTGCTTGACTGTGTGTGTTCTTTGGGTAACACTAAGCATTTCTCTTCCTCCAGTCATGGGGGATCAAGCTGGTGCCAAAGAGCACGATTTTGATTTTATCTCAATTTTGAACACAGGAGTTTCTCCCAAGCTTTCTCTGAATTATTTAGGGGTTCACTCACAAACCTAAGATTGGTCTGTACGTGTGTTTTCATGAGAAAGGAGATGGGCAGCGCAAAATTTAAATCCATTCAGTGTATTGTGTTAATAATGGTGTTCTTGGTGACTGTGGTCTTGTTATTGAGATATGAATGGGAGCAATGTTAATCTTAATCAAAATAGCTTGTTATTATACTCATTTTACTCAATAACTTGCAAATCAATTTATAACTTTTATGAAAATGTTTGGTTTTTGGATTTTTGATATTTTTTTCTCTGTCCATTAAAATTAAACTACCATAGAAATGTTCATTTCTCTAATGAAGGCTCTTATCCTGTTGATCTTGTATAGTTATAGGTTTTCCAAGATCCATGTGTGAGGCATTATTTCATAGCCTTTCTGGTAGTCAATCCAAGTAATGCTAACTTGGACCAGTCTGGTCCTACAGTGTTGACTGACTCCTCTATCTACCAGTAGCTGGTGTTTTGCCCCCCTGGTTTCTATGCCAATTCCTTTCTTGGCCCTGCTCATGTATTGAGCGACATGACTTTTCACCTTAGCCCCTATGAAAGAGAAGAGGAAAGAAGTGTCTGTCCAAAGGAAAAAGAGAAAAGACAATGAAGGTGGTAAAAGTGGAAATAGGTTTATCTCTGAGGTAACTCCCTGCACCCTGTAATGTGGTTTTCTTTGTGATTTGATGATCCAACTTCTGAGATATTGCCAGATGTTACTAATGTGGGTAACTTGAGGGCCATAGAGATCTGCTCAACTACAACATAACACAGGATTGCTGCCACGACCACCTTATGTAGTTTGTCTCCATGACAACAACTGCAGCTCTGACTGTAGCGTGGTGAGCAGTTCAGGGTCAGATTGATGAAACCCCCATATCCCCCTTGAGTTGATGCCTTTACCAAACACTCATCAAGTGAGGATATTTGAATAATTGTTATTTAACAAAAGCAGAAACTGAAAAATCATCTGGCTTTAGGCTATCTCAGTGTCTTTTGTCTTTTCTACAGTACCTATAAAAGATTAATCTAGCCACAATGAACTATTTTCAAGCCTTGATTATTTAATTTCTTTTCTAAGCAGAAAACTCGCAAATTCTTTATTGAAAGAGAAAATCTGAACAGCCTTGGGAAAACCATGCAACCTCCAAACAGAAGGGTCTTGCCACAATTAAAAACTTGGACCTTCTTGCTATGACACAACAGTAGTGACTATATTTAGATCAGAGTTTG